CCCTATACTGCTTTCCTTTTTTTTTTTCTTGAGACAGGGTCTCATTCTGTCACCCAAGCTAGAATGCAGAGGTGCAACAGCCTTGACCTCCTGGGCTCAAGCAGTCCTCCCGCCTCAGCCTCCTGAGTTGCTGGGACCACAGGCACATGCCATCATGTCCAATTTTTTAATTATTTGTAGAGACGGGGTCTCCCTATGTTGTCCAGGTTGGTCTCGAACTCCTGGGCTCAAGTAGTCCTCCGATATCGGCCTCCCAAAGTGTTGGGATTACAGGCGTGAGCCACTGCAGCTGGCCTATATTGCTTTATTTGTAAAAAGAGCCTGGGTATTTGTTTTGTGTTTCCTAGTTTTTGGGGAGCATGGAAAAGTGACCTTTGTCCTTTGTCAGCAACCTGCCGGTCTATGGGCAACATGGCAGCAGGGCAGGCTGCTGAGCTGGCCTGTGTTTTGAGGTGAAAGAATCCATAATTCCATCTCCAGGGAGCAGGGCTTGTTGAAGGGTCAGCAGGCCTTATGGAACAGTGGCATGTGATCAGGAAGGGGAATTCAGGCATCTGCTGGGGACCAACATTGCAGAATGGAGACTCAGGAAATGGCCAAATGGCCAGGAGTTGGGGCCTTAGAGTGTCAGATACTAGGTGTTGGATATTGAAGTTGGACCTTCTTAGGGCAGAAGAGAAATTTTGATGATGTTCAAGCAGGGAATATTATAAATGTTTTCCATCTCCACAAACCCCTGCTGCCCATTCTTGTCAGTGGCTCCTCTTTTGGGTAAAAATAACAGGTATGTTGATTTCCAGCCCCTTGCACTCATGTGTCTTTGCATCCTGTATGTATATCCACCTGACTCTTCTTTTTTCTTCCCCAAGACTTGTCTATCAGGGCTCTAGAACCCATAGTCTCCCATCTTCTCAGATACCTAAACTTCACATTGTCTCTTCTCTTTTAGAAATCTTTTTTTTTTTTTTTTCTTGAGACAGGGTCTTGCTCCGTCACTCAGGCTGGAGTGCAGTGGCACGATCTTGGCTCACTGCAGTCTTGATCTCCCAGGCTCAAGTGATTCACCCACTTCAGCCTCCCAAGTAGCTGGGACCACAAGTGTGTACCATCACACCTGGCTAATTTTTTTAACATATTTTGTAGAAATGAGGTCTCACTGTGTTGCCCAAGCTGGTCTCAAATTCCTAGGCTCAAGCAGTCCTCCTCCCTCACCTTCCCAAAGTGCTGGGATTACAGGCGTGAGCCACCATGCATGGCCTCTTAGAAATCTTGATTTTTTTTTCCCTCCCTCAGAAACTGTGTTATTCTTCTTCTGCCATTTAATGGGTGCCAAATAAATGGTGGCTACTGAGATGCCTATGATGATGATGTGCAGCTGCAGAACTCTTTAGCATTTCAAAACTTTGACCTTTATTAGCTCCTGTGCCTTTGCTTTCCTCTCTCACGGGCTCCCCTTTTCCTATTCTTCTTCCTCCTGTTTCCTCCCAGATTTACCAGAACTCTGGCCTTTGCCCACTATTGTTGTCCCTCAGAATGCTTCTTTGTTGTTGAAGTATCTTTTCTGCTCTGTAGAAATCTCACACTTCTCTGGTTTTAGTGTCAGCCTCTTTTCCAAGGTCTGGTTCAGCATCCTGCTATCATCTTAATTGTCTAGCAATGGTTTTCTCTCATCTCCCATAAGCAAAAAACCCAATCTCTCTTCCAACTCCTGCTGTCTCTGCTCATGGACCAACCTCACAGTTGCTTTGACTTAGATTCCTGAAATGGTTTTGATCCCTTCCTGCCTGTTGGTCCCCTCCATCAAATCCGTGAGCATTGATGGCTATTAAACCCCTGCTTTGAGGGTCCACTCCCTGGGCCTGACCTTCTTCAGGGCCTTCTTCTCACACTGTGGAGTTACAGCGTGTAACTCTGTCTCCTTGTCCAGGATCCTCCATCTCCACTCAGTCCACCATTTACTACTGCCTCATTAGTCTTACTGAGTCATCATTTTGTCATGTTGCTTCCTCAGCATAGAGCTCATAGTCCTCAACTTGGCTGCCAGGATTCTATAGTTGAACCTCAGCCTACCTTTCCCATTCAGTAACAAAAGCTCCAGGTGTTCTTTGACAGTTTATCATGTGCATGCACTGTGCTCACCTTGGTGATAGGATGGCTGGATGATGATGATTTATTTCTCAAGACAATGGGTGCCAAGAGGGACTGCATCAATAGCCAGAGAAGCCTAGCTTGGTGCATAGCTTGAGGCAGACAGAAGGGAGGTAGTAGTCTTACTCCTGTTCTGAGGGGAGCTTGGCCTGGAGAAAGAGGCCTGTGCAAACCACCTGTACCCAAACCAGCTCATTTACTGAATGTTTACTATATGTCAGGACTTTGCTAAGAGTTTGTTTACATGAATTACCCAACCTAATCTTCATGATAGCATTCTAAGGTAGTACTGTTATTATTATCAGGAACTAAATCTTTTTATTTATTTCTTTGAGACAGAGTCTCACTCTGTTGCCCAGGCTGGAGTGCAATGGCGTGATACCGGCTCACTGCAACCTCCGCCTCTCGGGTTGAAGCAGTTCTCCTGCCCCAGCCTCCTGAGTAGCTGGAATTACAGGCGCCTACCACCATGCCTGGCTAATCTTTGTACTTTTAGTAGAGACGAGGTTTCACCATGTTGGCCAGGCTGGTCTCGAACTCCTGACTTTGTGATCCACCTGCCTCAGCCCCCAAAGTGCTGGGATTACAGGTGTGAGCCACAGTGCCCAGCTGGAACTAAATCTTATATGATATTTATGTAAGTAAATATTTTTTGTTTCCACTGGTGACTGGAAAACTGTTTTCCAGTGACTCTGTTACCCAAGCCAAGCCATTGTCTAAATTGTCCTGTTTCTTTAGATGGACTGTGGAACTTTGGCTGGAATGGCCTGTTAGCCTTGACTTGGGATCGCTCAGCCACTCAAGTCTATTCAGAAAGGAGAAGAAAATCCTGAAAGTGTAAGAGAGTGTGTGTGTGTGTGTGTGTGTGTGTGTGTGTGTGTGTGTGTGTACGTACGTACGTACACGGAGTCTCATTCTGTCACCAGGCTGCTCACTGCAACCTCTGCCTCCCAGGTTCAAGCAATTCTCCTGCCTCAGCCTCCCGAGTAGCTGGGACTACAGGCACATGCCACCACGCCCCACTAATTTTTTGTATTTTTAGTAGAGACAGGGTTTCACCACATTGGCCAGGATGGTGTCAATCTCTTGACCTCGTGATCTGCCTGCCTCAGCCTCCCAAAGTGCTGGGATCACAGGCGTGAGCCACTGTGCCTGGCCTGAATATATTTTTTTAAATGCTCACTGATTGAATTGATCCCTGTAATTTTTTTTCTCTCTCTCTTTTTAATGTATCAGCTTTACTGAGATGTAATTTCTGTACCATACAAGTCACCCGTTGAAAGTATACTATTTGATAGCTGGGCATGGTGATATGTGTCTGTGTTCCCAGCTACTTGGGAGGCTGAGGTAGGAGAATCACTTGAGCCTGGGAGGTTGAGGCTGCAATAAGCCATGGTTGTGCCACTGCACTCCAGCTTGGGTGAATGGCGAGAACCTGTCTCAAAAAATAAACAAAGTATACAATTTGGTGGTTTTTAGTATATTCATGGTTTTGCAAATGTCACAATTTCCCGTATTCCCCTTGATAGTGAGCTTCAGAAGTAACCCTTAGACCTGTCTCCTGAAGCCTTCCTTCTAAGGTAGGCATGCAAGTTGTGGATATGGAGAACAACCCACTTATTTCTGCCTAGGGAACCCTGTTTAGTCCTTAGCGGTTTTAGACTGCCAGCCTCGTCCTCTGGGCTGAGCTCCGCCTCAGAACTGTACTAAGGCCCATACCTCCCTTCTTCTCCAGTGTGAGCTAAGGACTTAGCTGGGCTTTCTGGCTGTTTTTTGATATAGCCCTTTTTTTGGTGCCTATTGTTTTCAGAATTAGGAAGCATCAGTAATCATCTTTTGATTCTATCGGAGTATCCTGGTTTCTTTTTGATCTGCTTTCCTAGAGGAGTCTGAAGATAAGCTCTTACCATTGGTATTTGGATGCAGGTTGCCATGTACCAAACTAGAATATTTCAGAATTGACCTGGAGTAGGGCTCTGGATAGGAAACTTCAGCTAAGCCAACAAGGCTGCCATGGTGCTCAACTCCTGGCCTGGGTCAACTCTAGGTCCTGAGGGACTCTGGAAGGCTAAGAAGGTTATGGTATACCCTAGGGGTTCAGTGTCCTACTGTGGGTTTTAGGGATTTCCATAGCTTAAGGGCCTTGGTGATTTCTTGGAGGAATTCATAACATTTTAGGATGGTGACAAAACCCAGCTCCATCTTGGCTTTCCCTACCACCCCAAGATAAAGGGAGTCACCACAACCTGGTTCTCTTGCTGTGGTCTTGTTCTGCATAGACTTCCTTCCCCAGGCTGCACTTCCTGTCTGAAAGAATCCCCACGTTCTGTGTCTGATCAGGAGAGCACAGCTAATGTGATTTCAGCCCTGGGTTTTGAGGTCTCATCGTTTGTTTTACTTGAGTTTGGTCCTGGCTGTTACCTCATCCTCCATACCCCATATATAGGGGGTGAAACCTTCACACATCCCAGAGGGGCCTCAAGCCATTTAGTTCACTTCAGAAGCTGGTAGTGGTCACATAATGGCCCTTTTTGGCCCCCAGTCTGGATATTCTTCCCCTCCCAAACACAGGGGCAGAGGCTAAGCCCCCTCTTCCACTTCAGCAGGTGGGAGTTTTGAGAGGAGGAAGTGAGAGGGAGTGCCCTTTATTTGTGTGTCCAGGACCCCTCTTGTCTGCAGATGGCCACTGAAAATATATGGCCACTTAGACTATGGTGACCTGACTTTTGTCAGCAACTCAGAAGGAGACGGACTTTGGAAGTTAAGAAAGAATTGTCCGATTACCTGAAATCGGTTTAGGGTTGAGATCGTTTTTTATCTTAATTGCTTTAGTAACGTAAGTGAATCAGAACTGAAGTGGAAAATGTTTTTGGGTTTATGTTTTCAACACAAAGTATGATGATGCTTACATTCCATTTATAGGAGTGGCAAGGAATTTACTATGCCAAAAAGAAAAACGGAGATAATATACAACAAAATGTGAAGATAATACCTGTCATTGGACAGGGAGGGTAAGTGGAAAAAAAAAGTACATCAGTCAACATACAGTGTTTTGGGTTATTGCAGAATTTGCTTTAAGTTAAGGACTGCTGACGGAAGTTTTAAGGTCAGGTGTCATCACAGAATGGCCTTCCAGGGTAGTGTTTCCTTGGTGACTTCCTCATGGCTACAGTCTGACCCTCCACTTGCAGCGCACAGCCGCTGTACTCAGAGCAGTCCTGTTTAAGCTGCATGGATACACAAGAAACCGAAGTATTTGTTTAAATCAGAATGTCACTTCAATAAGCTGTATGAAATACTAACTGGTAGACTCCCTATATTGAAAATATTTTTTACCTAATTTGATAGGCTATGTATTATTTCTGCAAAGACCCATCAAATTAGATAAAAATATTTTAAATACTAACAGTTATGGACATTCTTATATAAAACAGATGTGACTGCAGTTTGGAAACCAGTATATATCAGGAGCCTAAAAATTTCAGACAGTTTATCTCAGAAACCTATCTTAAAGAAATAATATGGTAAGATGAAAATTATGAATATGAATTACAGAACACCTAAAATATTGCAGCCATTAGAAATGACGATCATATTCACAGGTTCTAAGATTAGGGCCAAAAAAAGTAGAAATGATGATCATAGAAAATTAAATTACCTCATGCCGTAATCCTAGCACTTTGGGAGGCCAAGGTGGGAAGATCCCTTGAGCCCAGGAGTTTGAGATCTACCTGGGCAATATAGTGAAACCCCCATCCCTACAAAAAATTTAAAAATTAGCTAAGTGTGGTGACACACACTTACCAGTTTTCAGGGGACTGATGTGGGAGAATCGGGAGAATCGCTTGATTTTGGGAGGTCGAGGCTACACTGTGATCGTGCCACTGTACTCCAGTCTGTGCAACAAAGTAAGACGCTGTCTCAAAAGGAAAAACAAACAAAAAACAAATATGAGAAAGGTTATGATATAATGTTAAATGCAAAAAGTAAAATGTAAAATGATACCTAGTGTTTAATCTCAATCATGCAAAGGAAAGAAGGAAAAAAGAACAGGAGAAAGTATGGCAGTGACAGTTGTAGTAACTGCTGTTGTTTAATTGAGCCCCTCCCTTCCTGGCCAGTTCCCAGTGTCTGGTAGATGCCACTTCATTCCATCCTAACTGCAGCCCTGTGAGGTTGGGGCTGTGATCATCTCCACTTTACAGATGAGGAAACTGAGGCTTAGAGAGGTCAGGTTTCTAGCCCAGGGGTCCAGCTGCCAGCGTGAGGCGCAGCCAGGCTGCAGACCTCAGCACTGACTGCACGGCTCACGTGCTTTGTCACCAGGCTTTGCTGCCAGTTGGTGATCGCCTCAGGGAGATGGATCTGTGTGGGTTCTCTGTTCTGATTCTTTGCCCTTTTATGTCCTTTCCAAATTTTTTGTGGTAAGTACATAGGGATTTGATTATCAAGGGGAAAAAGTGAAAAAACTGAAGGAACAATAAATAAATGAGAAGAGTCAGCAGCCTCTGAGCTAAGCCTTCGTTGCTTTGTTTTAGAAGTCTAGCTAACCACGTTCAGTGTGAACCTCAACTCCCAGTGTGGCCTGCGGCTGTGGCCACCAGTGACTGTGAGCAGATTGTTTGTTGGAACTTGAAGAAAAGCATCAATATAAAGGGTTGTGAAAATAAAACATGTTAAGGAACTAAAGCCTCTTGGTTGGTTAACATGCCGTTCATTTTAAAAAACATGTATATTTGATTGTTTCATGATTAATTGGGAAGAATTTTGTCATTTTTACTGAAGTCACTTGTACAGAGACACCAAAGGATGTTTGTTATCTCTTGTTTATTATTGGTGGCCTTGGTCACAGTAAGAAGAAATGTTCTCAGAGCATTTTGTGTATTACAAAAGGGAGGTGCCATTTCATAATGAAAAATTAACGACATATCCATCAAATTAGAGAGTCAGAAGAGAAATAATGCATTGTTTTTTACTTGCAGAAAAATTAGACACTATGTGTCCATTATCAGAGTGTGCAATGGCAACAATAAGGTACGTAAGGAGAGCCCCTGGGACCCCAGGAACACCCCAGCAAGATTTTCAGCAATCAGAACTAATGGCTTTTAAAATTCACTTTTAGGCTGAGAAAATACCCGAATGTGTTCAGTCTGACACTCATACAGGTAGGGTGCCCTATATTTATTCTTAGAGTTCGTTGAGTGTTTGGAGAAAAAAAATAAAAACAGATCTTTAACTAGCTTGCCTGGTGTAATGGTGGGATTTTCCTCAGCCTGTGGCAACATGTCTCTCCTTGACTCCCCAGGTTGGCTTATGAGTCAAAGGACTTGAGCACCTGTGAGCATTCTGACAGGTGCCCTGGGGCGGGTCTCTGAACCTGCGAGGGAAAGAACTGGTCAACTGAAATGCATGAACTCATGCGAAGTGTAGTTTTATAACCTCATTTATGCTTTAAGAGGGTTGGGTGATTATCACACAGTCCTTTAACAGGGACGTCTTCATCTGTCCTGACACTTATCACTGCCAGCCTACAGGGAGGTAACTGAGCCCCTCGCACTTGCCTCACCTCTGTGTTTCTTAACCATGCCTTGGACACCGTCTGCTCATCCCCATAGCTTTGTTACTGCAAATGCATTTCCCTGACTTGGAGTCACCTGTTTCCTTCAAATGTGTCATGGCTTCAGTAAGCCACTTCCTATTCTGGTCCTCACAGATGAAGGGGCTGGGCTGGGATGGTGAAGAGCCACTCCAGCTTCAGGCAGGAGGTGCTCCATCAAGTGGCTGCGTAGACACTTGGTGTGCCACCCTGCCTTGCCTGAGTAGTGTGCTCTGCTTGCCCATCTGGTCTGTACGAGCCTCTAAGGAGAAGGCTTCCCTTCATGCTGTCGGTGATATGCTTTCTGCCTTACCAGAACAGTTCATTCTTTCACTCTAGGAACATTTACTACATATTTTTGTGAGCACTTAATGTGTACAAGATACCTGTGCTAAGTGCTTTAGGTACAGCTTATTTTAATGAAGCCTTAGAATAATTCAAGGAGGTAAGCATTTTTAGGTGAAATTCTCTTTACAGGTAAGGAAACTGAAAGTTTAAATAATCTGCCCAAGGATCTCCATCTAGGAAGTGGCAGAGCTAGCACCTGAATCCAGGAGGGCTAACACTAGGGCTCTGATGCACAGTTTTTACGGGTGCCCCAGGAGCAATCAGAGATTTAGTCTGAAAAGAAGAGAGACACATTGACACAAAGGAACAGAGCAAGCGATAAGAAGTGATCCGCAGGAATGAGAGAGGGCAGTGGGTGGTGTCCTAGGCAGGGAGATGTGGATTTGAATAAGAAAAGAAGTGTGAGCGGAAAAGCATTCCAGCAATAAAAACAGGCATAGAAGAGGGAAAGTACAGGGCATGTTCCAGAAAAAGGAAGTACTAAATTTTGACTGGTATAAAAGGTCAGTGGGGAAAGAGGTATTTGGGTCAGTAAGAATCCTGAAATGCTAGGTGGGAAGTTTCCATTTTCATCTATAGACAGTGGGAGTCTCTGAGGATTTGTGAGTCAGGGAGCAGCGTGATGATATCTGAGCTCTGAGAAGCTCTTAGAGGATGTATGTCAGATGACATGGAAGGAGACACCAGAGAGAATACCAGCACTGCCATAGTCGAGAGGAAAGAAAACAATGGCCAGGGAATAATAAGGTGACGACAGTAGGAAGAGAGAAGAGAGGCCAGATGTGATGATGGTGTGGGACTAGAGAGAGAAAAGCAAGAAAGTCCTTGAAAAGGTGGTTTCTGAGCCTGTAGATTCAAGGAGTAGCAGTAGGGCTGGGGAGGATGAATGTGTAGAGCTCTACCTGTGAGGTCCTGCTGGCAGTCAGGTGGGTTTGTTTATTCACCCCTTTGCCCATTTATTCTACAGATTTCTGTTGAGTACCTGCTGAGCACTGGCTTCTGTGTTCTGCAAAGAGGTTAGGACTAGAGATGAAAATGTTTCTGGCCAGCCAAGCATTAGCAAGTAGCACAGATGTGGATGTGATGGAAACCAGGGATGGGAAAGGGGAATGGAAACTTTGAGGTTGCAGTGGAAGAGAACAGCAAGAAAAGGAGAGGAGGGGTAAGGTGGATTCCTGGAGACCACCTACCTCCAGAGAAGGAGGAAACAGAAGCAGGAAAGAGGGGTTAGAGAGAGTGGGGGAGTCTGGAGAGTGTTGCTGAAGCTCAAGGCAGGGAGAACGGGAAGCATCAAGACTGGTCAGGGCTGCAGCACACATAGGGAAGGAGGGGGATATGGAGCCAGAGATGGAATGCTTTGCATTCAAGAGCTTGTCTGTGACCTGCAGACATGCAGTTTCTGGAGAATGGCGAGGGCAGAAGCCAGATTGCAGGGGCTGGAGGCGTCAGAGTAGAAGCAGCACGTGTGGGCCTGTTATGGAGAGTCCTACGCTGCAAGTTCACAGGGGGCTTTTACTTGGTTTTAAGCATTTGTTTTTTAACTCTTAAGAATAGTACCATATGGCCGGGCGTGGTGGGTCACACCTGTAATCCCACCACTTTGGGAGGCCAAGGCAGGTGGATCACCTGAGGTCAGGAGTTTGAGACCAGCCTGACCAACATGGAGAAACTCCATCTCTACTAAAAATACAAAATTAGCCAGGCGTGGTGGCGCATGCCTCTCATCCCAGCTACTCAGGAGGCTGAGGCAAGAGTATCACTTGAACCCGGGAGGCTGAGGTTATGGTGAGGCGAGATCGAGCCATTGTACTCTAGCCTGGGCAACAAGAGTGAAACTCCGTCCCAAAAAAAAAAGAATAGCGCTGTAAAGTAGGTATGACTATTATTTATATTCCTTTATTACAGAGGAAGAAACTGAGGCTCAGAAAAGTTCAATGAGCCAGGTGTGGTGGCTCACACCTGTAATCCTAGCACTTTGGGAGGCCAAGGCGGGTGGATCACTTGAGCCTAGGAGTTTGAGACCAGCCCGGGAAACATGGTGAAAACCTGTTCCTACCAAACATACAAAAAATTAGCCGGGCGTGGTGACACGCGCCAGTGGTCTCAGCTACAGGGGAGGCTGAGGCACGAGAATTGCTTGAACCTGGGAGGCAGAGGCTGCAGTGAGCCGAGATCGCGCCACTGCACTCCAGCCTAGGTGGCAGAGCAAGACTGTCTAAAAAAAGAAAAAAGTTCAAAGACAGCCTAGAGTTGGGCAGCCAGGATATGGCAGAGCTGGGACTGAGAGGCAGAGTCAGTGATGCAGTCAGAAGAAATGTTCGGCAGGGGGAGCATCTCCCAAACTGCATTTATATCGAGGCCATTTGGTCGTTTTACTTGATCAACGCTGACTTAGGAGTTTTACCCATCCCACCCAGATGAGCCACCTGCCCATCCTACCTCCCCCCTTAGCAGCATAAACAGCTTTATGTCCAAAGGTCTCAACTGGTCATCTTCACTTGAGAAGGCAGGGTGGAGCTATTATAGGCCATGGGCCAGCCAAAGTCCTTGGTTACACACAACAGAAATCAAATCTTAAGCAGAAAGGAGTTTTTTTGTTTTTTGTTTTTTGGAAGGAAATGCTTACATATTGGACAAGAAAGCTCTAGAACTAGTTTTGGAAAAGGAGGCAGGAACCTGGGGAAGCTGAGCAACTGTCCCCACTGCCCTAGGCATGCCATAGGAGCACTGTGCTTAGGGGGCCCCTGCTGTCACTACTGAACTTTGAGCACCACTGGCCCTGTTGAGGTCTAGTTATGGGATGTTGCTGTTCTCACCACGGGTAGCATAGCTTCTTCACACTTCGCTTCCTTGCCTCACTCACTCAAAAGCAGACTCATTTGGCTGGGCCTGTGTCACCTACTCTATCACTAACTGGGTATGGAGCAATGGAGTCTCTGGCCTTCTCCCTTCCATAGTGAGAGGACTTAGTACTCCCTAGACATGGGAAGGAAGGTTCAGGATCTGAGCATCCAAAAGAGTAATAAAATCCCAATACATGCTCCCTTTTCCATGGCCCATGTGTTTTCACGTGACACTGTCTCACTGAGGACACCAAATTGTAGTGACAATTGTCCAATCTATTGATTTGTTCTAGGTCAGGCGATGAGCCTGGCTGTAAGCATACTGAAATGAACATGAGTCTCACTCTCCGGTGGCAGGAGAAAATAATTTGAATATGCTGTGGTTTGTAGTACCACACTGGAGAGAAGCTGGGGGATGCTTCCCAGCAATAATGATGATGATGGTTGACCTGGTGTCTGGAGAGAAGTAGTGGTCATGCAGAGGACAAGGTGGGAGGAGCAGCACACATAAAGGCGTAGAGAGGTGAGGCTCGGGCAGGCCAGTTTGGATTCATCCTGTGAATCCAGGCAGAGGAAGGCCAAGTGAATCTGTATAAATAGGTAAATGGGAAAGAGTCAGGTCTTATAAAGATAGTCATGGAGAAAAGAGATTGAAGACAAAGTAACTCCTGAATCCTGCCTCAGGAGTCCAATCAGAGACTGGATTCAGGAGTTACTTAAGTATAATCAGTAGGATTTGGGAACCAGCTTACTGTGTGGGATAAAGAGAAGACTTGAGAATGACACCGAGATATCTAGCTTGGCCACTGGATAACATTAATTAAAATAACAAGTGCACATAAGATCATAAGAAAGAGCAGATTTGTACAGGGAGTGGACAGTAAGTTTAGATTTGAACTTACCACATCTGAAGTGATAAGCCAAAACTTTTGGCCCTGGGCCAACTCTCCTGGAGAGAGAAAGTGAGGCAGGAAGACTGAGTACCAAGAAAGGAGTCCAGCAATAAGAGACATGTGAATAATGACCAGAGGAGCACTGAGGAGCAGGATTAATTCATTCATTCATCATTCATCCAAACTCAGTGCACAACTGCTGTGCACCAGGCAACATCTATGTCTCTGCTTGCAAGATGTGTTTCTAGCTGGGGGTGAGGTAGACAGTAAGCAAACAAACATACAGTATATCAGATGGTGTTAAGTTCTGTGGAGAAGAATGAAGCCAGGGGATTGGGCATTCAGGGGATGAGGAGGTGGTCAGGACAGGCTTTACCAGTAATGTGACAGGCTCTGGTTCTTGTTCAGGTTGTATGGAATGGAGCCCAGGCCTCATACTTTGCAGGTGTTCTCATGGGCTACCAGGGTTGGGGCCATTGTTAGAGGCCTCATAGATCATTTAAAATACTTGGGAGATTTGGTCTGCACCTGGAGAAAGTGAGCTTTCTTGGGAGGAAGAGGTAGGTAGTTACCAGAGGCCCATGTGCAGAGTCCTGTGGGCTTGGCAGTTTGGAGGTGGCCCTGTTGCAGAGTAAGTGCTCTGCAAATGCTTGTTGATAGTGCCTGAGGAAATGCTCTGACAGTCTGCTGTGGTCCTGGCAAAATGACTTTTGGGCAAGTCACATAAGATACTGGGACCTGGACTTCCTCATATCCAAACTGGAGCTCATACTTCCAGGCTGCAGGGCTAATGTGAGTTGGAGGAAGCTGCTGTTTTTGAGGGGTACTGATTGGTTACCCCCTCTCATCATCCCCACTGTTTTTCCAGGGTTCCCAGGATTTACCCAGCAGGTCAAGGAAATGCTATTAATTTTTCTCTATTGAAAGGATGGGCAGAGCTTATGGACCCTGTTTCACAGAACAGGAAGCCAGGAGCAGAGACATGAAGTTGCAGGTGATCCTGAGCCCAGGCCCTGGCTGTGGAGGCCTGTTTAGTGTTCTCTCCACTGGCAGGCCGGGTACCTCAGGATGAGCGTGTGTTTTCTGAGCACTCAGTAAGCAGGAGGCCCTGGGCACAGCACACTTTCAGGAGTTGGTAGTCTCGTTGGGATGTAAGCCTTACACTTCATCTTCAACCTCTTGGTATTCCCTGAGGAGAGCTTCTGAGAACTGGGCACTGGGGTGACAGGGTGGAGACACGGTCCATCTCTACCCACTGGGCGAAAATTGCTAGAATCATCTATAACGTGCTACAGGGACTAGGGGAGGAGTGAGCTTAGCAGGGCTTTTAGGAACAAGAGGATCTTGTATTTACATAAAGTAACTTTGAAACAGTCAAATAGAAATTAAAGCCCGCTTAGTCTCCCTCCATTTTTCCACAGTGCATCCTTCATACACACGTTGCTACTTGCTCCTCTCCAGCCACACTCCTCTATCTGCACAAGCAGTTTCCTCCTCCTGGAAATGCTGTCCTCCTCCTCCGTATCTTGGCTGCAGCTACAAGACTCCATCCATCTCCTTTCTGCCCCCACTCCCTTGAGAATCTGCCACTTCCCCCTCCAGACTCCTCCTGAACTTTAAAAGTATTACTGTAACTCTTGATTTACCCACCCTTTTCCCCACTGACCATCTCCTTTTGAGTTCATGGACCATAACTTACTCATTTTCACCTCCCTAATGCCTAGTTTAGGGCAGCACACATGGTGGGTGCCCAGTAAAGGTTTGTTGAGTGGAATAAAAGAGGTAAGAATGAAGGAACAAATAATCATAAGTTCCCAGCCCAGGCTATGTGGACATTACTCATCATGAAGCTTAGAGGAAGGAGACACACTTCTGTCTCCATGTGGTTGAGAAGAGGGGACATTTGAAGGAATGAACACTTGAAGAGGGTGCAGTGTCATGTCTCAGACGAAAGGAGCCGATGTCAAGGCTGTTCCAGAGACGGAGCAGTTGTGCTGATGCAGCACATTCATGGGAAACACAGTGCAAGATGAAAGGCAGGCTGCTGTAGGCCAACCTTACCTGTCCTTGAATGCCAGGAAGTTCTTTATCTCTGAAACGCTGAAGGATTTTGAGCAGGGGAGCCACAGAATCAGAGTGACTGATATAACAGAACTTTGATTTGTGCACAGCAGGAAGGTGCAAGTTTTTGGTGAAGCAGATGTGTATTTATTGAGCTTCTATATACATATGCTGCTTCTAGCAGATGGTAGCTACAGTGCTGGTCACCTAGGAAAGACAAGAAAAACTGTCCCTGCTCTCAAGTCATTCATGTTAGCAAGGAAGGCAAGACAATAAAGCAGGCTGTTTCCCAGCACTGTTGGGGTGGTGTGGAGAGACTTTAAGGAAAGGTTTCCCAAAAGTTATGATACCTGAACTGCATCTTCAAAGATGATCAGAGGTAACCAGTCGAAGAAGGTGGCATGGGAGAGGCACATTTCCAAGTCAGTGGTTTGTACCAAATCATAGAGGTTTGGGAGGCAAATTAACAAATCATAAATAGTTCAAGGTGGATAGAGATAGGGGGCGTAGACCTCATAGGACTCTGGGTGCCACACTGAGGAGTTTGAATCTTATCCTAAAGACAAGGATGAGCCATTGAAGTGTTTTGATTGAGAGATTTGGTTGGATTTTTGTTTTACAACGATCACTTGGCAGCCTGCAGAGAATAAGTTGAAGGGGGAAAGGTTGGTGTTTTGGAGCCAATCTGGGAGGCCATTGTTATAATCCAGAGAGGATGACAAATGTCTGAGCTCGGACAAGGACAGAGCTGGGGATAGACTCGAGGTGTTTAGGAGGTAGAATCCTTAGATTTGGCTGACCCATTGAAGGGGGAGGAGAGGGGAGGGGAGAAGTGATGGATGACTTCTGTCCACCTTATGGTAGATGCTGTTCAGTGACCTGGGTTAAAGAGCAGATTTGGAAAAAGATAAGGACTTCATGGTGGATAATGAATTCATTTGCAGTGCCTGAGGAGTGTCTAAATAAGGTGGTAAATGGTAAGTTAAGATGTAAGTCTGGAGCTCAGGAGAGAGGCCTGGGGTAAGATGGCAATATAGGAGTTAATTAAAACCATAGGAAGGAATGAGATCTCCCAAGGAGGTTTTGTTGACTGAGAAGGACTAAGGACAGAACCTTTGAAAAACCACCTTTGGAAACACCAGGGATACTGAGGAAGAGGAAATCATGAAAGAAACTAGAAAGGAGTAGTAAGAAGTGGAAGGAAAACCAGGAGAGTGTGGACTCTGCAAACAGGAGTGTCCAGAAAGGGATCAGTTGTGTCTAGTACCACAATCAAGTCAGGTCAGGTAAGGATTGAGTTGTAGCCTTCAGACTTAGCAAAAAAGGAGGTCGTTGGTGACCTTGACATGTTCACTCTTTAGTGCCTACAGAGAAGAGGATTTAGTTTAATTGGGCAAAGAAGCAAAGAGCAGGTGAAGAGGCTTCTCGATGGTGCAGAGGAAGTGCTAAGGGCCTGCATTCAGATCCTGTCCATGAGCAGGGAGAGAAGTTCTGGGTGAGGAAGCCAAGACAAGGCAGAGAAGCTACTCCATGGCTGTGGGAAGAGCCGAGCTCAGCGCCCACCCTGCTGTGCACTCATCTGCAGAGCAGCTCCCAGTTTCCTTGTCTGTGAAATGGGGATGTATGGTACCCAGCAGGTGCACAGAGAAGGGGTCAGGAAGGTAAGTCAGAGTTGCTTTGTCAGTGATTGCTGTGGGGGTCAGGATTAGAGAAGAGTCAAAGACAGTCCCCCATTTGAAGCCTAGGAGAGTAGTGTGTCCTTCGTAGAGAAGAGGGGGTGAAAGGGAGGAAGATGAACTATCATTTGAAATATACCCCAAACAGTGTTTACCGTACTACCCTAGGAAAGAGAAGAATGTTTTCCCTGGGATATTGTAGTCCTTATTTTGTAGAGAAAATGAAAGATTTTTTTTCTTTGGGGCAAGATGAGTGGGGATCAAAATTTTCCCATCATTTTATTCAATTATATAGAAATACAATAGGAGAAATTCCCCTGAGGTCATTTCTATCAGTTGTCACTTTATGTCCTGGAACTCTGTAATTACATAATCTGGAGCTGTAAAGCCCTTGTTTATCTGTGCACCTGGTGGGACATTTTGAGAAACTCTACCCCCGTAAAACTGGTTGTTCATAGTCTTCATCTCTATACTGTGTTTACTTTTGTGGCATTTAAAACATGTTTAATTGTTAAAGTTGAAAGTTTTTTTTAAATTTTAGATTGGTAACCTTCCTTAATATGTTGTTTAAATCAAAAGTGATTTATCATTTGTTTCTACAGATAATCAGACAGGCAAACATAAAGACAGAAGAAAAGGCTCACTAGACGTCAAAGCTGTTGCCTCCCGTACAACTGAAGGTGAGTGACCAAGACAAGAGAAAAAAAATGTGATCAAATCACTGTTGAACACATGGAGCCCTGCTGTGCCTTGCCCAATCTCATCCTGTCTATCTCCAATTCTCGGGAGAAGAGGGAACCCTCTGGAAACTAGTGTTCCATTTTTCCCTCTGTGGACTCCTGCCAATGGGCTCCATTCTGAGCCTTTTAATGGAATCAGAAAATAAAGAAAAGGAAAAGATACATTCCCATATATTCTATAGTTGCATTTCTAAACTGTAACAGCAGAAGATGTCAATTCATCTGCTATAATTGTTTGCATTTGATAATTCTTAAAGATCTATCCCATCGTGGTTTGCAGTTTGCCATGGAAACTTTTAGAGAGAGGTGAGCTCGATTTTGGAATTGTGAAAGAACCTTATTCAGCAAATATTATTTAAGTTCTAATTGAAATATACTTTTTAAAAAGAATATGTAGGTGCATGGCCTGAATGACCTAATTTTTAAAATGTAATAAACATTGCTTATACAGAGTGTAGATGCAGGTATTACTGCTAGCTGTATACATTATTTGGCCCAAAAATGAATACAGAAGGATACAGAGCTGTTTGTACTGGTTCAAAAGACAAACTTTTCCAAGGTGATACCAGCTAAGATTACACAGTAGGGATCAAATGCCACCCTGTCATCCCTCACAGATTTGTTATAAGGCCCAGATGACATGCTGTGTACTCCTTGCACTGGAAAGACCATACAGATTACAACCCTGCTTTGAGGGCAGGATTGGGGTGGTGCCAGTGAGGAAGCAGTATGGGGTTATGGGAAGGACTGTAAACTTTGGTGTCAGAATGACCTCAGTTCAAGTCCCAGCTTCATCTACTCTGTGTAGCCTTGAGGGTGGACTTCTGTGTTTCCATTGCCTTATCTGTAAAGTGGGGATAATTTACTGTCTACAGAGGATTGTGTGAGGATTAAATGAGTGTGTGTGGTGCCTGGTGAGTAAGGGTAGGGACTCAGTTAGTGTTAGCCGACATCGTCATCTTCATTGTAGCTGTCGTGATTACAGTCCCAGACTCTCTGCAGTCTTGGAGCAGCACAGAGCAGGGCTGAGGTCCCTGCCCAGAACAGCCTTCACTCACCACATGCTAATGTTTGTTGATCCTTTGAATTCCTTGGTATATTTCTATGTTTTAATAAATATTTTTTCTTGTAACTTTTTATCTTTATGATTTTTGAGTTATAATTTACATACAATGAAATTCACTTGTTTCATCTCAATGAGTTTTGACAATTCTATGTGCTCATGTAATCACCACCCAAAATAGATATGGAAAAGCCACACACACAAACACATCATTAACCATGCAGAAGCAACCACTGATTGCTAGCACCATAAATTAATTTGGCGTCTCCTTGTGCCTCATAGAATTGGAATCGTACAGTATGGCTTGTTTGTGTCTAGCTTCTTGAACTTTCATGTTTTCAAGGTTTTTCCATGTTAGGTATGTCATAGTTCCTTCCTTCTTATTGCTCAGTAGTATTCCCTTATAGGAATATACTACAATTGGTGTACACATCTTCTTATTGATGGACAGTTGTTTTGTTTCCATTTTGAGGCTGCTAAGAATGAGGCTGCCATGAACATTTTTGTACAAGTCTTCTTTTGTGGATGTATATGCTCATCTTCTCCCTAGAAGTGGGATTGCTAGGCCTTAGAGCAGCTGCAAATGGTGCTCTCCAGTTTTATTCTCCAATAATAGCTCCAACATATTGCACCATGTTACTCTCCTCACTCATCTGTGAGAGTTCCAGTTGTTCCATGTTTTCCCACACTTGGTAATACCAGAATTTAAAATGTTAGCCATTCCAGTGGTTTTAATTTTAATTTTCCTTATGACTGAAGTTGGGCACCTTTTTATTGGCCATTTGGATAATCCTTTTCTGAAGTGCTGTTCAAGTCTTTTGCCCATATTGATAATTGGGTTGTATATCTTTTTCTTGTTGGTTTGTAGGGATTCTGTATATAGTCTAGGTATGGAATATCTGTGTATCACAAATATATTTTTTTAGTCTGTGGTTTGCCTTCTCCCCTCTAAATCGTATCTTTTGATTCTTAATCAAAGAACAGAGGTTCTTAATCTTAAGGAAATTCATTTTATCAGGTTTTATATTATTACTAGTGCTTTTTGTGTCCTATTTAAGAAATCGTTCTTCATCCCAAGATCATGAAAATATTCTCCCTTGTTTTCTTCTAGGAGTTTTATTGTTTTATCTTTTGTTTTAGGTCTTTGATCCATTTTAAATTTTTATATCTGGTGAGGGTAGAGATCAAGGATGACTGCCCCTGACCCTGGGGAAATCCAACTGGTCTATCACCATATTGAATAAACATCTTTTGCAGTAGCACCATTATAAATCAGGTTACTACGAATATGTGATCTGTTCCTGGACTCTATTCTGTCCCACTCTTCTGTTTGTCTATGCTTACACCAATATCACAATCAGCTACTTATATAGTAAGTGTTGATATCTGATACCTGGTAGTAAGTAGTTGTTCTTCTTCAGTGTCTTGGCTGTTCTAGATCCTTTGCATTTCCATGTCACACTTAGAATGAGCTTCTTAGTTTATACACACACCCTCCTGGGATTTGTTTTCAGAGTGCCTTAAATCTGTAGATCAATTCGGGGAAAATTGAAATCTCAGTAATACTGAGTCTTTCAAATCATGAACATGCGATGTCTCCATTTATTTAGGCTGTCTTTGTTTTCTCTCAGCAGTGTTTTACATTTTCATTGTAGAAGTCATACTAATCTTTAATTAGATTTATTCTTAGGTATTGATGGTTTCTTACGCTATTGTAACGGTGTTACTTGTTTAAATTTCCAATTGCTTATTGTATATAGTCATAGAAATACAATTGATTTTTGAATATTGACTTTGTATATCCAAGAGCTTGGGCAAACCTACAAACTCACTGTAAAAGAAGAGGAGTGCATTTATAGATTCTTCAGGGCTTTCTGTATACACAGTCATGACAATCTTTATACTTTTTTTCTTACCTTATTGCTCTGTTTGATTTTTTTCTAATTCCTTTATTTTTTAATTGACAAGAATTATGTATATTTATCATGTACATGATGTTTTGACCTATCTGTACATTGTGGAATGGCTAAATTAGGCTAATTAACATATTTATTACCTCATACACTTTCATTTTTTTTGTGGTGAGAGAACACAAAATCTACATTTAGCAATTTTCTAGAATACGTTGTTATTAATTGTAGTTACCATGTTGTACAATAGATCTCTGTTGTTTGTTACAAGCATATGTCAATTATTTTTAAATGAAAACAAGTCCTTTTATGACAGTGAGAAAATAGCAGTTTTTATTTTTGTTTTAATGACATTGTTGGATAAAATGGAAGGTTGGCAATCCTATAATCACCAAAATTTTAAGAAGTTTAGTTGGGCCCCCAAATTTAAAACATTTGAGACCTTGTGAATTGGTTAACCTTGGACGGTGTCTCTCCTTGGGCCTCAGTTTCTTCATTGGTAAAATGAGGTTGATACATCAGTCTCTGGGACAGCCCCCGGTCCTGTAACGTCTTTGGAAAGCAGCATTTAGCCTGATGGGATTGTTCGTGGAGATACCCAGGACTGGACGTTAATGTTTTTCCTGCCTATATTGTCTGGGCTTCTCCTCATCACAAAGGAACCATATCTTGACAGGAACAACAAAAATTAACAAACTTTACAGCCTAAGAATTGCTGCCTGCCTCATTTAAGATATTTACCTAATCAGTCTAGATTAAACCTAATAGTGGGAAGCACCAAAGGGTACCTTGAAAAATTTAACCAGAAATTTGTGTATTTTAGTTGTTGGTGAATTGAATGTATTGCTCCTGCCATATATGAAACAAAGAGCATTGTGTGGCATTGTCTTCCAGAACATTTTTACTCCTAGAGAATGGCAAGCTAAATAATTATAAAGGCTTATTGTCATAGACACAAAAAGAGGCTGTTTGACTTTGGCTTGCTAGATTGTTTCCTCTGTTTTCTCTCTGGCCTGTGACGTCAGAGGTTCAGTCCATGGGGTCATATGTGCATCCTAGTGCCTAGAACTGAAGGAAACAGAATTGGTTATGCCAGAACCCCAGGATTGTTAGGATGGGAACGAAGCTCAGTAAACTCAGTTCTATCCTGCCCCTTCATCATGCAGCCGAGCACACTGAGCCCTCTGCTGTCAAGACAGGTGCCCAGGGCTGTGCACACCCTGATTTGTGCATCCCTTTCTCCACAGTTTCCAGCCAGAGACGACACTCTTCTATGGCCCGGATACATTCCATGACGATTGAGGCGCCCATCACCAAGGTGAAGCAGTTTGTGGTCTGTCTCCATTGAGCACACATACTCCTTGTTCTCCCCAAGGATCATTTCCAGTGAGAAGAAACAGGGACCTGCAGTAATGAGAATGCTGTCATAGTTGTATGGTGCTAGTAGCCTCCTCTGAAGAGAGAGGATGTGTGATGTCGGCATTTTAACTAGTCTTAAGTTGGTATTAATTACTATGGCCAGATTGAGTCCTGTTGGGTTTTGTTTTGTTTTGTTTTTGCTGTTGTATTTTAGAGATGGGCTCTCTCATTTCTGTTGCCCAGGCTAGTCTCAAACTCCAGGGCTCAAGTAATTCTCCCACCTCAGCCTCCTGAGTAGCTGGAATTATAGGCATACACCACCATGCCTGACCCTCTCATTGTTTTTTAGGTTATGAAACTCAAGTATTTTCTTTCCATAATGTAGGTAATCAATATTATCAATGCTGCCCAGGAAAGTAGTCCCATGCCTGTGACCGAAGCCCTAGACCGTGTGCTGGAAATTCTAAGAACCACTGAGTTATATTCACCACAGTTTGGTGCTAAGGATGATGATCCCCATGCCAATGACCTTGTTGGGGGCTTAATGTCCGTAAGTATATTTGACTAGACTCCTGGCTACAGCCTGTCTGTTCTTGGTGGTTTTCTCAGAGGTTACTCATTTAAACAGATCTCTTTGAAGAGACAGGCAGGGCACTGTAGGGTTCAGTCAAGACCTAAACTCTCCTCCATTGCCTGGGTTCTTCTATTCTCTGGCCAAGCACCCACCTGCTGCCTGCCTCCTAGGGAGAGCTTAGCTTGGAGCAGAGCAGGGAGGAATGTAATCCTGACAGTCTGCTGAGCCAGTTCTCCAGTGTTGCTTAGGGCTTCTACAGTAATTTATCTAAATAAAGCTTGTTTAGTTGTATTAAAGAGCTTGAAAACTGGGACAGTGCAGAATAGAAAGACTGTCTTTCTCCCGCCATATGTATTTAAAATGATGCCAGGGGGTGTGACAGTTTGGCCTTCAAAGCATCCCACACACATTTGGATGACTGTAGGAAAGAGGAGTTTGGGAATCTTTCACTAGAAGGGGGCTTTGTGCCATAGACTCTTGAGGGGTCCTGGATGCCTCCTTCAGGATGTCTGGTGTAGAGCTCTCACAAGAGAGGGACAACTTTGTGCAGCACAGATTACTCAATTGCTGTCTGTCAGCTTTTGTCTTGGTCAGAAGCAAAATCCACCTCCTTCCCAATTCATGCTTTCTGAATTCACTGGATTTTATAAAAATAACGTTCCAGGCAGAAATCTAGAAGGTAGAGTGTTTCCAATGCTGATAATATCTAACTGTGGTCTTGCCTCTTTGAAACAGAGGCTCCTCCAGACTGTAGGTGAGAGATGAAAATGATGAGGGATGGGGTAGGATAGTGTTCTGGAGGCGAGTAGATGAGAATAGCCACAGGACTGGAGAAAAGGGGCTGCTAAGAGTCCGGGTTTGGGCCAGGTGGTCTGGAAGCACTGGTGAGGAGCCCAGGAGAGTCACCGGCGGGAATGAGGTCCCTTAGAAGGTGAGAGAGGAGCTAATGTTCCCAGGAGAACCTTGTGTCCTCAGAGTGAAGAGAGTGGCAGGAAAATGGAGGAGAAGGACTGAGGGCAGAGCAGAGTTGTTCCTAAGAAACCAAATGGTCCTGGAGGGCAAGCAAGAATGCTGGGCTTAAGGACCACCCACCCCTCAAAAGATGCAAGCTCACCTCCCGGGCGCTGACCCTGGTCCTGAGTTTAGCTTCCAACAGGGCCAGGACCATCCTTCCCAGCATTAGCCTGTTGTGTTCTCCAATAAGTGACTGAGGCCAGTAGTTGATCACAGGGGTGGACCCGCTGGGCCCCGGGCAGCCTTGAGTGGATTGGTGGAGAGGGCTGCCCTGAGCTGTCCTGTGGGGGGACCACCTGGAGTTTCCAGGAAGGAAAGAACAGTTGTGACTTTTCTTTTTCTTGTTTCCTTGATTTTTATCAGGATGGTTTGCGAAGACTATCAGGGAATGAATATGTTCTTTCAACAAAAAGTAAGTTTTTCCTTTTTAATTTTTTAGATCACTATCTATAATACTGCAGTTTAGCTTAAGTGATGAAAATAACTTTTTCAGATAAAAGTTTTTAAATAATTTTTCACCTCATTAAGAAGTTTCTTGGTATATCATAAAGTCTCAGAAACAAAGCAGCTGTCCCTGAGGCAGTACTGTCCTCCCTAAGAAACAGTTAATCCTGGCTGGGAGCGGTGGCTCACACCTGTAATCCCAGCACTTTGGGAAGCCGAGACAGGCAGATCACAAGGTCAGGATTTCGAGACCATCCTGGCCAACATGGCGAAACCCTGTCTCTACTAAAAATACAAAAAATTAGCCAGGCATGGTGGCAGGTGCCTGTAATCCCAGCTACTCAGGAGGCTGAGGCAGGAGAATCACTTGAACCCGGGAGGCAGAGGTTGCAGTGAGCTGAGACCGCACCACTACACTCCAGCCTGGACAACAGAGTGAGAGTCTGTCTCAAAAAAAAAAAAAAAGTTAATCCTTTAAAGCCTATTAATTTTGTTCTCCAAATTACATCACTTTACAGACACTCAAACGGTTTCAAGCAATATAATCACTCCCATCTCCCTTGATGATGTCCCACCACGGATAGCTCGGGCCATGGAAAATGAGGAATACTGGGACTTTGATATTTTTGAACTGGAGGCTGCCACCCACAATAGGTGAGTTCATGCAGACCTCAGCAGAGGGAGAACTAGATTCCCAGGGCCTGTGTGAAGAGGCTACCTGAGGAGTGTGGATTGTGCACAGGGCTGGTACCTGGTCAGGGAGGGGCTCTGAGGAAGGAGTAGCAGGGCACCACGTGGCTCTGAGTTACCAGGGCCTGGGATGGCTTCTCAGGTCTCATCTCAGTTTGGGCGACCTGTCCCCAAGATAACCCCCTGACTTTTTCAGGCTCACCTTGAGTTAACCTTCTGATACGTTCTAATTCCCCATCTCCCAGCACAGCCAAGGAGAGTGGAAAAGAATACTCCCTTGGCACATGAGTCTTTAAGCACCTGGTTTACATCCTAGTGACATTACATCCATGTGAATTGGGCTAAGGCAGGTCAGTTTAAGTCCTGTGATCACCTCTGGATACTGCCTCAACACAGCCAGTTTCTTGGCCTTTAAAGGCAAGGGCCAGATGCTGGGTCAAGGTGATTTCTCAAGTAAGAACCTAACTTGGTGGCCAGCTGGTCACCTCCGGGGAAATCCCCTCATACTGTAACACCCACCTCCAGAAAGGTGTTGAGAAAATTCCATGGCATACGGCAGTATCTGGCTCATAGGACATTTTCAGGAAATGTTTTCTTATAGGCAGGGTGTCTGGCCAATGGCATTGGTCCAGCAAGTCCAAAGGAGAGGATGGTGTTCAAGGTGGTACAAGCTTAACCTGGAAAAAGGATTGTTGTGACAAATTCAGTAGTGCAAGTAGGAAGCTGAACCTGGAAGGACAGAATGAGCAAACTCCCCCCAGCAAATCAGGAGCCCCAACGAGGCTGAGGCCAGAGCTGCTATGGACAGCCAGTTCTTACCTGTGCATCATGGTCTCCTGAGGGCAAGAAGTGGAACCAAAGTTTGTTTGCTCCACCAGAGAGAGGCCAGCACAGCCCAAGCAATCTCCACTCTGCTGCCCTGCACTCCCTGAAATTTGGCTTGGAACCTATTCAGGCCTCAAACACTTGGCCTATTTGTTTGCTTTTGTTCTAATATTGTGGGGTTTTTTCTTTCTATAGGCCTTTGATTTATCTTGGTCTCAAAATGTTTGCTCGCTTTGGAATCTGTGAATTCTTACACTGCTCTGAGTCAACACTAAGATCATGGTTACAAATTATCGAAGCCAATTATCATTCTTCCAATCCCTACCACAATTCTACACATTCTGCTGATGTGCTTCATGCCACTGCCTATTTTCTCTCCAAGGAGAGGATAAAGGTGAGTTGTTGTTTACATGCCACGTTTAATGGGCAGGAACAGTGGGGAAAGTCTAGTGTTCCTGCCTCCACTAAGATACGTAGCATGACTGCTCACGTGTGCAGCCTGGCACAGGAAGGGCGAGGCCACACTGTAGCTTTGGGAAATAGATGTGTTAATTCATGACATAATCCCAGCCATTCCATGAGGGTACAAGAGGCAGGAGGATTTGGTCCTGGAGGAGAAACCACAGGATAGGGCTATTCTTCTGGGGGTCTCACTCCAAGCCTGTACACTAGTAGAGCCAAGTAACTGTTGGATATCCCCACTTTAGGGCCTGCATCTGTACATCAAAGTCTGCAGGGCTCTAAGGCCAAGTTCATCATCTCTGTTCCCAGCACTGCTCCCACCCAGGGTTATCTACCTAATCCAGGGTTCCATTATCCAACCAGATACCCAGGTTAGAAACCGAGAGTCACCCTTGGTTCTTTCCACTCCTCAACCCCCAACATCTGGTTGATCATCTGACCTTGCCTCCTGTCACACCTAAATGTTCTCAGATTCATCTCTCGCTGCTGTCCCAGTGAGGCCCCCTGCAATCCTTTCCCATCTGGGCAGTTCCAAACTGGAATTCTTGCCTACCCTGCCTCCTATGGAACGCCCTTACCCTACTGCCAATGTGATCTTTCTGAAACAGCACACCTGACACTGTCATTCCCAGGAGCAGCTTCCCACCTCCCTCAGGATTTAAACTTTAACCTCTACAGCTCTCCACACTCACCTCAACAATGAGCTCCTCTCATCATTTCCTCTCTTCTCCCTCAGTCACAGGCCACTTTTGGGCCATGCCAAACCACTTTAGTTTCTGAAGCTTCTGCCCTTGACCTGTTGCTCCCTTGGCTGGGGCCTAGATGACTGCAATCATGCAGGGCCAGGGCAAGTGGCTCCTGCCCACATTTCCTTCTCTGTATCACGGGACTGGCATTTGGCAGAGAGCAAAGTAGAAGATGACATCTGGCACACAGAGGAAGGGAACAAGTGCTCATTCCTCACCTTGAAGGGTATACCTTCTCAGAACTTTCCCTGCTCCCTCTAGTTCTTATTTCTGTTTTTGTTGGTTTGTTTTCCAGAAAAAAATCAAATCAGACTGTAGGTAAAACAGGTGTCCAGAGGAGGGACTGTTTTCTAAATTACGAAAACAAGTAACAACAGAGGGACGTCTGTGTCAATATGGCTCAGTATATAAAGAACCCAATTTTTGCTCTATTGCTTTTAAAGTACTCTATAGACAACGTACAAATATATATTTAGAAAGCTAACTGAAAACAGTTTTTAAGAGCATTTATTGAAATGTCATGGTGGCTCACACCTGTAATCCCAGTACTTTGGGAGACCAGTGCAAATGGATCAGGAATTCGAGACTAGCCTGGCTAACATGGTGAAACACCATCTCTACTAAAAATAGAAAAATTAGCTGGGCATGGTGTCGCAGGCCTATAATCCCAGCTACTTGGGAGGCTGAGGCGGGAGAATCACTTGAACCCAGGAGGTGGAGGTTGCAGTGAGCCAAGATCATGCCACTGCATTGCAGCCTGGGCGACAGAGCAAGACTCTTGTCTCAAAACAACAAAAAAAAAGAGTATTTATTGAAATGTAATTCACATACCATACTATTTGCCCACTTAAATTACTGAATTTTAATTTAAATCAATTTAAATAAATTTGCAAGGCTGATTTATTAGCTAAACATCTTCAAGAGTCTGTAGGGTATTTCCAAAAATGATCTTATACTGGGACATAATGTGTTGAACTTCTAAACTTCATAAGCTATATTTTCTAACCACAACACAACAAAATAGAATAACGGTTAAATTTAAAATGTCAGCTACAACAAATGAGAAAATATTCTTAATAATTTGGGGATCAACAAAGAAATTAAAACCAAAATGACATTAGTTAGAAAACAACAAAAATGAGAAACTTACCTATCAAAACCTATAGAATGAAGTCAGTTATATATTTAAAGGTTTATGTTTTAAATGCCCTAATTACTTCAAAAAGGGAAGAAAAAGAACATGGGAAGAACAAAGTGATAATCCAGTGTGGCTCTTGGAAATAACCAAGAAAATAGATGAAGTTCTAGCCAAACTAGTTAAGATATAAAAACACAAAAATATACAAATTTAAAGCAGAAAATAGTAGAAGTACCGCCCACATATGTACTAAATCAAAAGCTTTAAAATAGTTTCAATGTGTTTTAATTAAATTGATGTAAGAAGTATTTAAAAAAGAGACCAATAACATGGAAGTAATTTTAGTAATTTTTAAATTATTATTTAATTTCTTCAAAAGTTGGCTCCTGACCCAGATGGATAGGTGAATTCTTTAGCCCTTTAAGGAATTTTTCCATGTTACATAAACCTTTTCAGAGCCTTGAAAAAGATGGAAAACTTCCAGATCATTTTGTCAAACTCACAAAACTCTGACATCAACCTGACAAAGATAGCACTAAAAGGGGGAAGAAAACTAAGGCAATTCCCAGTTAATGTAAGTGGTGCCTATTTTAAATTTTATTTAAAATTGTTTCTCTCCTTTATTAATACTAGTTTATGTTGGTCTAAGTCAATATCTCAGACTAAGGACTTTTTTTGTGATGGGTCTAGAGAAAGACTGGCTGAGGAGGTGACTCCTATCTGTTGAGAACACCTGTATTTTGGTAAGTCCTTAACTTGTGTGAGACTAACAAAACTATGCAGAAATATAACTGTTTCAGGGTGGAGGTAGGAAAACTAGATTTGCTCACGTAGTATGCTTTTCTTAGAAATCTGAAATATTCTTACCTGAAAGTAATAGGGGAGAAAGAAAACTATACAGAAGGCTTCTTTGCCTTCAGTGTCATACCCCCGTATTTAAAAGCTGTCTTGTTTTCAGGAAACTTTAGATCCAATTGATGAGGTCGCTGCACTCATTGCAGCCACCATTCATGATGTGGATCACCCTGGGAGAACCAACTCCTTCCTGTGTAATGCTGGAAGTGAGCTGGCCATTTTGTACAATGACACTGCTGTGCTGGAGAGCCACCATGCGGCCTTGGCCTTCCAGCTGACCACTGGAGATGATAAATGCAATATATTTAAAAACATGGAGAGGTAAGAACAATGACTGGGGAGTGTGTTGATCCCTCTCTGTCTTTTTTAAACAGCTATGTTGAAATATAATTCACATCTTATACAGTTCACCCATTTAAAGTGTACAAAGTATACAGTGGGCTGGGCATAGTGGCTCATGCCTATAATCCCAGCACTTTGGGAGGCTGAGACAGGAGAATCACTTGAGCCCAGGAGTTTGAGACCAGCCTGGGCAACATAGGGATACTCTGTCTCTACAAAAGGAAAAGAAATTAACCAGGCTCGGTGGTTGTGTCTGTAGTCCCAGCTACTCGGGAGGCTGAGGTGGGAGTATTGCTTGAGCTCATGAGGCTGAGGCTACAGTGAGCCATGATCACACCACTGCACTCCAGCTTGAGCAACAGAGCGAGACCCTGTCTCAAAATAATAACATGTACAGTGGTTTTTAGTATATTCATAGTGGTTTTAGTATATTCATAGAGTTGTGCAACTCATAGTATATTCAATTTTAGAATATTACCTTTGATAGAACCTCAAATTTATGAGCAGTTCCTTTCCATTCCCCCAACTCTAGTCCTAGACAACTACTGATCTACTTTCTTTCTCTATAGATTTGCCAGTTCTGGACATTTTATGTAAATAGAATCATACACAATGTGTGATCTTTTGTGACTGGCTTCTTTCACTTAGCACAGTGTTTTTAAGATTCAGCCACTTTGTGTCTTGATGTTTCAAGACGAAGTATAATGCCGATATCTTGAGCTCTTAGAGACTCAGAGAAGCAGTCATCTATCTCCCTGAAGCACTCCACGCTGCCCTCCCGTGCTCAGCGTACATCTCCTTGGCATTGTCTCTGTTTACATGTCACTTCCTTGGGGAAGCCTTCCCTGATTTCTCATGCTAAGTTAAACCATCTAATTATTCAATCCCAGATTTCTTCATAGCACATACCACATTTCTTAATTATTTTTTAATTATTTGCATAATGTCTGAATAGATTCTTAAGCTCTGTAAGGTCACAAGGGTCATATGTCACTGTGCCCTCAGTGCCACAGTGTTTGGTAACTTAGTGAATATCAGTTGAAGAAGGAAAAAACATTGTGTCATGAAGAATACTTATGAATTTGGATTTTTAAAGAAGAGGATTCTTGATTTTGTAAAACTCCCTTGTGCCATGTTCTAGGATTTCAGAGGTGGAGTTAAAGTAGTTTCTATTTATATTTGCTTATAGATACATCAGTTATCAATGGAAAACCACATGAGACCCTATTAACTTTCTAGGGAAAGTTTTCTACTCAGCTGCAGAAAAGGGGTTGAACAGAGACTTTATTTCATATTCATTCATACCCCTTCAAGAAATGAATTTTTTAAAGTACTAAAGTAAAAGTAAGGGTTAGAGATAGAGGCATCAAGTACTCCCTATGATTTCTCAAGCTATCAAAAGATTGGTCCTCACATTCTATGGGCACTAAAATTGTTGGGGCTCAAGGTACCTCCATGTGGGGTATATTTTTTCTAACCACAGATCTCTACATTGACAAGATAAACACTGCAACTATAAAGTTTTGCCTATAGCTTTTGGTTTTAACTTCTGTTTGGGTTCTCCTTGCTAACAATCTAGGCACTACCCCATAACTTCCACATCTTTTTAAAATGTGCCTTGTGACTTTCAGCGGCATTAGATTTATAGCTGCAGAGGACACATAATCTGAATAACAGATTGTTTTCAGGAGTACCTGGCTGGTCGGGATCAGTAATCTGTAGCAGCCTCTAATTTGTCATCGAAAACAGGAATGACTATCGGACACTGCGCCAGGGAATTATCGACATGGTCTTAGCCACGGAAATGACAAAGCACTTTGAGCATGTCAACAAATTTGTCAACAGCATCAACAAACCCTTGGCAACGCTAGAAGAAAATGGGGTAAGGGAAACTTACTGCAAAGAGAACCTGTGTTTGGGGCCCTAGTACTGTTGGGTTATGGAGACACATGGGCCATGATATCAGCCACAGAAGTGTTCCCTCAGTGAGTATATTAGGGTTCTCTTAGAGGGACAGAACTAATAGGATATATACAGACACACACAAAGGGGAGTTTATTAAGTAATAACTTACACAATCGCAAGGTCCCACAATAGGCTGTCTTCAAGCTGAGGAGCAAGGAGAGCCAGTCTGAGTCCCAGAACTGAAGAACTTGGAGTCTGATGTTCGAGGGCAGAGAGCATCCAGCAAGGGAGAAATGTAGGCTGGGCGGCTAGGCCGGTCTCTCCTTTTCATGTTTTTCTGCCTGCTTTATATTTGCTGGCAGCTGATTAGATGGTACCCACCCAATTAAGGGTGGGTCTGCCTTCCCCAGCCCACCCACTCAAATGTTAATCTCTTTTGACAAGACTCTCACAGACACACCCAGGACCAATACTTTGTATTCTTCAATCCAATCAAGTTGACACTGAGTATTAACCATCACAGTGGGCTCACTGAATTAGTTTTTATTGGTTAAAAAATTATTTAAAGTGCAAAAACTTGGCAGGAAAAAAATTAGCACATCTAACTAGATAGGAAAACTCGAAAGGAAGGTCAGATTTTAGATAAGCTAACTTTAGACAGGTAAGCTATTCCTGCACCCTTTCTCACTAATATCCCCCTCCCTTCTTTGCCATTCTGTGATCAGTTGGAGTCCTTGATATCTCTTTCCAGCCACTCCCACTGGGCACATACCATGGTAGCAGCAGCTATCCTCTCTTGGTCCTCACTTAGAGGAGTGTGTGGATTGAGAAGGACACTGTATTTGTGTCACAAGGGTGACATTATTGTTGCCCCTGTTTCTACATTTGAGGCATGGAGTCCACAACAATTGCTGGGCAAGGATAACATTAACCCTCTCACCAGTCAGGAGACTCCAGCTGAGGAAGCACACAGGCCCAAGCTCCCATCATTTGCTTATCTGTAGAATGGGGATAATAAGTCTCAAGGCATAGTACTGATGAGCATGGTACATGGTAGGCACTGAAGAACTGGTGCCTATTATACTAGATTATGTCATCAGCAACTTAAAGAATATGTTCTTTCATGAACCTTCTTCCTCTGAGGCCCACATTTACTGAACATGTTGGCAGCAACTCACAGTCTTCTGTACCACCTTCCTCCCCAGCTCCTATCACCATCCTGAGATATTTGCCACACACAGGGATGACTTATCCTCGCAGGCTAGGATCACAATTCCTTGACTTCTAACTCCATTTTACTTCTGCAACTCATTTGTTTGGCCACGGCCTTTGTCTACCCCCTGGCTTTCTAGCATATTATCCCATGACACTTACTTTGTTTTAACCTGATGTTGAGAACTCTGTTTCCTCACCCTTTCCTGTTCTCTCTGTTTGTCAGCCTGCCTCTGACTTCACTCTCTTTCCAAAGACTTTTAATGCAGAGGTGCCTATACCAGCCTCTTTTGTTGCCTCCTGCCCTGTCATTCTGGATAGGGCTGATTGTCACCTGGCCACCACTCCTGGCTGACTTCATGCCACAGAAGGAAACCACACACCTCACAGACTTGGTTTCCTCTGTCTAGTCTGCACAGCCCCTAGACTTAGCTGAGTTCTCTGCTCCACTTAACATTATAGTTCTCATCTCTGTTGTCGGTACGGGGGGTTACTTCTGAGAGACTGAAAATCAATATCCAGTGGGTCAGAGCAGGAGAAAGGAAGATAAAAGAAAATAGTTTCCAGGCTGGCAGTACAAAACTATAGTCACACTGCAGGTATTAATGGATCTGAAGAAAGAAGTGTCAGCACAGAGCTGGTCACAGTGGAAACCTGGAGCGACAAGAGCTACTGAAGTGTCACTGGTGTAGTAGTCATTTTGGCACTCTCCAGGAAGCGTGGGAAGCCTAGAGTCAGGATGCCACCTGCCCGTCTTGATGGCAGATCTGTTCCCTCTGAGCTGGGACTATCAGGCCTTCGTAGGCTACTGCTGTTGCATATTGAAATCATATGACTAACTCCTTTGGAAGGGTGCTTGATGGGCACGGAATCAGACTGAGGAGACCTGCTTGCCTCTGGTCTTTTCCATTGCTCTCTGCCCCAATAACCTCTAACCTGAATTCTCTTCAGAGAGCCTACAAATAGTGGTTCTATTGCATCATAAATTGATTCATATCCAGTGGGGATCCTTGTGATGCAGACAGCACATGGTACTGTGAGTGGAAGGCAGCCTGGGACTAAAGGCAGACCTTAAGTTCTTATCCTGGCTCAGCTGGTTGCTTTGGACAAGTCACTTCACCTCCCTGAGTCTCAGTGTCCTCATTTGTAAAATGTAATCAGTAGTACTTTTCATGCTTACCATTACATCTTCTTGTGAGTGCAGATCAACAGAGAATGACTGTTAAGTCATTTATACATCAAAAATGTTAGGTGTGATCTTGGGAATCTGCCCTGTCACAGGACTGAGTTGAGAAGTAGGGAGCCTGTTGGGCTACAAGAGCCCATCTGTTGTGAGGGCAGAGAAATTTATTTTTTTCAGCTCATTCTCTTTTTTAATAAAATAAAAGACAAAACCAGTCTTTGAGTTCTTACCAAGGGGGAGAGAGAGAGAGGAAGAGAAAAAAAGGCAATGGTGAGAAAGATTTAGTGAGAGGAAGAGAAGAAAGAGGCAAGGAAAAGGGGAACAGCAGATATACCAACCCCTAGTGCTACCCTCCACTTCTAGGTCCTGTTGGAATATCACTGAGCCTGGTTTTCTCCTGTGTAAAATGAGAGGCCAAGCTCAGTGCTCAAATATCCTTGGCACTGTTTCATGAGATCCTTATCCTGACTAGTGCTCTTTTTGTGCTTACAGTGGTACAGACCAGTAAGAGTGGGCTTGGCACCAAGGGTCCCATTTTGATTGCTTTGAATTCCACTCATGTTTCAGGAAACTGATAAAAATCAGGAAATGATAAACACTATGCTTAGGACTCCAGAGAACCGGACTCTAATCAAACGAATGCTGATTAAATGTGCTGATGTGTCCAATCCCTGCCGACCCCTGCAGTACTGCATCGAGTGGGCTGCACGCATTTCAGAAGAATATTTTTCGCAGGTAAGATGCTGCCTCTTTTAAGTTTCTAGAGAGAGAGAGTTAAAACCCATAAAATCATACAAGATAATGGACTTAACACTAGGAAACAGGGTTCTAAACAAAATTCTGTCCTTGTATTGCATGTTTATTGGTAACAAATTTTTTTCTTCTCTAAGAATATTTTTATTTTCCCTTTATTCTTGCAGGATATTTTTGTTAGATATAGCATCCTGGGTTGATGATTTTTTTCCTGAAAGTACTTTAAAGGAGTCATCTGGTCTTCATATTCTTTCTGAGTGGAAAAAAATCTCTCTTGGGGCAGAAAAAAAATATTAGGAAATATACTGGCCAAGATTATTCCAGATCTGGTGGAGGGCATATGCATATGCATACAGATTCAAGAAGCCCAGTGAACCTTAACCATGTCAGATGTGTCATAGTCAAGCAGCTAACAAGGTGAAGATAAATCTTGAAATCATCCAGAGGAAAAGCGATACATTACTTATAAGAAAACAGTGATTCTTACGTCCTCTGACTTCCCATCAAAAACTATGAAGGCCAGAAGACACTGGAACATCTTTAAAGCGCTGTTAGCTTTGGGAGGACAAGGTGGGAAGATCACTTGAGCCCAGGAGTCTTAAGAGCAGCCTGGGCAACATGGTGAGACCTTGTCTCTACAAAAAAATTAAAAGTTAGCCAGGCATAGTGATGCACTCCTGTAGTCCCAAGCTACCTGGGAGGCTGAGGCAGGAGGATTGCTTGAAGCCCAGGAGGTTGAGGCTGCAGTGAGCCATGATCATGTCACTGCACTCCAACCTGGGTAACAAAGTGAGACCCTGTCTCAAAACATACAGCTAACATTATATTTAATGGCATGAGATATTGAATACATTCTTAAGATTGGAAACAAGGTAAGGGTGCCCATTCTTACCTCTTTTGTTCAGCATTGTATTGGTGGTCCTCATCATTGCAATAGACAGAGGAGAAAGAGGTTTAAAGAAAAAAAAGTAAGACATACATTTGCTTCTGTTTGTAGGTGACATGATTTTATATAGAAAATTCTAAGAAATATACAAACAATTATTAGCACTAATAAGTGGATTTGACTTACCAATGTCATTGGACATAGCTCAATATACAAAAGTGAGTTGTATTTTATGTACTGGCAACCAGCAATTGGAAAATGAAACCAAAAGCCCAGTCCCATTTACAGTAGAAAATTAAAAAATTAAAATTACTTAGGAAAAAATTTAATAAAAGATGACCAGAACTTTACAGTAAAAACCATAAAACATTGCTGAAAAATTTAATGAACACTTGAATAAACAGTGAGACATATCATGTTCACATACTGGAAGGCTCAGTGCTAACATTCACTTCTACCCAAATTGGTTTTTTCAATTCAATGCAATCCCAATCAAAATCTCAGTGGACTTTTTTTTCTGTAGAAATCAACAGACTGTTTCTAAATTAAATATGAAAATGAGAAGGACCTTGAATAAGCAAAGCAAACTTAAAAAATAAAAAGTTGGAAGATATGCCCTGTTTGGCTTCAAAACTTAAAATAATCAAGACAGTGTGGTGCTGGCATGATGATAACAAGTACAACCATGGGACAGAATAGAAATCCAAGAAACATCACATTTATATGATCAGTGGCTAACGTGAAATTTTTTCAGCAAGTGGTGTTAGGATAATTGGATATTCCTATGCAAAAAAAAAAAAAAAAAAAGACCCACAACTCCTATCTCATACCATAGAGAAATTCATAGACCTACATACAATAGCTAAAACCATAAAGCTTTGAGAGAGAAACATACCAGAATATCCACAGTGACGAAAGTGGACAAATATTTCTTAGATGCAGAAAGCAACAACCAGCCAGGTGCAGTGGCTTATACGTGTAATCTCAGCAATTTGGGAGGCCAAGGTGGGAGGATTACTTGAGTCCAGGAGTTTGAGACTCAGCCTCGGCAAGATAATGAGACCTCATCTCTAGAAAAAAAATTTTTTTTAATTAGTTGCCTGTGGTGGTGGTGTGTGGTGGTGGCACATGCCTGTGGTCCCAGCTGCAGGAGGATTGCTTGAGCCTAGGAGGTTGAGGCTGCAGTGAATCATGATTGTACACTGCACTCCAACCTGGATGACAGAGCAAGACTGTGTCTTAATAAAAAGAACAACAACGATAAAAAGAAAATTTGATAAATTAGACTTCTTCAAAATTTACAAAGTTTGCTCATTCAAACACACCTAAGAAAATGTGCAGGCAAGCCATACTGGAGGAAAATATTTACAAATTATATTTGAAAGGACTGTATCCATAGATATATAAAGAACTGTATTTGAAAGGACTATATCCGTATAAAGAACTGTAACTCAGTAATAAAAGATAAACCACCCAGTTTATTATGGGCAAGTATTTGTCCAGACACTGCCCCAAAGAAGCTATTATGAAAGACCAATAAGCATATGAAAAAGTGCTGAACATCATTAGTCATCTGGGAAATTCAAATTAAAACCACAGTGAAATAACACTACACACCCAATGGGATGGCTAAAAATGGGAAAGGCTGACACCACCAAATGAAGATGAAACTGGAATGCATGCATCTGTGATAGATGCATAGAACGCTACAGCCACTTTGGGAAGCAGTTCAGCAGTTCCTTTTTTCTTCTTTTTTTATGGTAAAATTTACTGTTTTAGATCTGTGTTTTCTTCCCTTCGTTCTCTTCATGTGATATATCACACTGATTGATCTTCATGTGCAGAACCAATCTTGCATTTCAGGAGTGAATTCCACATAGTCATTGTGTATAATCCTTTAATATGCTGCTGAGTTTGGATTGCTAGTATTTTATTAAGGATTTTTGCATCAGTATTTACAGGGGATATTGGTCTGCAATTTTCTTGTAGTGTCTTTGTCTGGCTTTGTTATTAGGATAAGCTGGCCTCATGGAATGAGTTAGGAAGTACTTCCTTCCTTTTCAATTTTTCTGGAAGAGTTTGAGAAGGATTGATATTAATTCCTCTCAAAATGTTTGGTAGAATTTAACCAGTGAAACCATCCTTTTTTGGGAGGTTTTTGATTATTGATTCAATCTCCTTGCTAGTCATTGGTCTACTCAGATTCTGTTTATGATTCAGTCCTGGTAGGTTGCATATTTCCAGGAATTTAGTCATTATGTTGGCATACGATTGTTCATGGTACTCTCTTACAATCCTTCTTATTTCTGTGAAACCTGGAGTCATGTTCCCACTTTCATTCTGATTTTAGTAATCTGGGTCTTGTCTTTTTTTCTTAGTCCATCTAGCCAAAGATTTGTCAATATTGTTGATCTTTTCAAAAAATTATCTTTTGGTTTTGTTGATTTTTCTGTATTGGTTTTTCTGTTTTCTGTGTACTTCTGTTCTTTATTATTTTCTTCCTTTTGCTAGCTTTAGGTTTAGTTTATTCTTTCTATAGTTCCATAACATGTTAAGTTAGGTTGTTGATTTAAAATCTTGTAGACATTTACAGCTGTTAATTTCCCCCTTATCACTGTTTTTGCTGCATCTAATAACTTTTGGCATAGTGTGCTTCATTTTCATTTGTCTCAAAGTATTTTCTAATTTCCCTTATGATTTCTTGTTTGATCCCTTGGTTGTTTAAGAGTATATTAGTCCATTTGCGTTGCTATAAAGGAATACCTCAGGCTTGGTAATTTATAAAGAGAAGTTTATTTTGGCTCATGGTTCAGCAGGCTGTACAAGCATGGAACTAACATCTACTTAGCTTCTGGTGACGGCCTTAGGAAGCTTGTGATCATAGCAAAAGGGGAAGCAGATATATCACATGGCAAGAGAGCAGGGGGAATTGCCACACTCTTAACCAGATTACCTGTAAACTCAGAGCAAGATCTCTCATTACCATGGGGAGGGCACTAAGCCATTCATGAAGGATCTGCCCTCATGACCCAAACACATCCCACCAGACCCCACCTCCAGCACTGGGGATTATTTTTCAACATGTGATTTGAAGGGGACAGACATCCAAACCATATCAAAGCATATGCTATTTAATTTCCATATACTTGTGAGTTTCCTGGTTTTCCTTCCATTATTGAGTTTTGCTTTCATTTCACTGTTACTAGAAAAGGCACTTTGTATGACTTTACCTTTAAAATATATACTGTTTGTGGCCTATCATATGTTATATCCTGGAGAATGTTCCATTTGCACTTGAGAAAAAAATGTATATTCTACTGTTGTTGGGTGGATGTTCTATACATTCTGTTAGGTCCACTTGGCCTAGAGCATTGTTCAAACTCTATTGTCTCATTGTCCTGTTCATTATAAAAGTGTAGTATTGAAGTCTCCAAGCATTATTTTAGAAGTATCTGTTTCTTCCTTCAGTTCTATAAATGTTTGCTTCATATGTTTTGGAACTCTGGTATTTGGTGCTTATGCTTATAATCGTTATATCTTCCTGATGAATTGACCCTTTTATTAATGTCGTTCCAGGCTGGAGTGCAGTGGCACAATCTTGGCTGACTGCAACCTCTGCCTCCCAAGTTCAAGCAATTCTCCTGCCCCAGCCTCCTGAGTAGCTGGGATTACAGGCACATACCACCATGCCTGGCTAATTTTTGTATTTTTAGTAGAGGTGGGGTTTCATGTTGGTCAGGCTGGTCTCGAACTCCTGACCTCAGGTGATCCGCTTGCCTCAGCCTCCGAATGTGCTGGGGTTACAGGCCTGAGCCACCGCGCCTGGCCTGTAACAGTTTTTGACATAAAGTTTGTCTCTTAGGATACTCACCCCAGCTCTCTTTTGGGTATTATTTTCATGAGATATCTTTTTCCATCCTTTCATTTTCAACTTATGTATGTGTTGAGAGCTAAAGTGATTCTCTTGTAGATAGAATGTAATTGGATCGTGTGTTCTTATCCATTCTGCCAGTCTGTGGCTTTTGAGTTGAATCTATTTACATTTAAAATAATTACTGATAGGGAAAGACTTTTGCTACTTTGTTAGTTTTCTGTATGTCTTACAGCTTTTTTGTCCCTCTTCCTCCATTACTGCCTCCTGTTGTGCTTATTTGATATTTTGTAATGGCACATTTTGATCTAAACTATTCTATAGATAGTTTCATTGTGGATACCATAGAGATTGCCTAGGACAACCTAAAGTTACAACAATTAGTTTTAAATTGATATCAACTTAACATTAATTGCATACACGAACTCCTATATAGCTCTACCACCCCACTCTGTTTTGTAAATGTCACAAATAATATCTTTATACATTATATGCCCATTAACATTTAAAATTATTTTGTATGCATTTTTAAAAGCAAAGTTACAAACCAAAACTGTAAAAATGCTGCTTTTTATATTTTCCCATGTATTTACCATTATCAGAGATCTTTATATCAAGTTTACAGTCTAGCTTCCTTTTATTTCAACCTAAAGGATTTCCTTTAGCATTTTTTGTAGGTCAGATCTAATGGTAATGAATTCCCTCAGCTTATGTTTATCTAGGAATGTCTTAATTCCTCCCTCTTTTTTGAAGGACGGTTTGCCAGAATCAGAATTTTCAGTTGACAGTTTTTTGTCTTTTAGCACTTATATATATAATTTCACTGCCTTCTGGCCTTCAAGGTTTCTGCTGAGAAATGAGCAGATCATCTTATTATTTCCTATATGTGATGAGTCTCTTTTCTTTTACTGGTTTCGAGATCCTCTGTCTTTTGACTGTTTGGTTATAGTGTGCCTCAGATTGATCTCTGTGGGTTTATCCTACTTGGAGTTTATTTAGCTTCTTGGATTTGTAGATTCATATCTTTCCCAAAATATGGCATTTTTTGGCCAAGATTTTTTCAAATATGGGGTCTCACTATATTGCCCAAGCTGGTCTTGAACTTCTAGGTTCAAATAATCTCTGTCCTTTTCTCCTCCTCCTCTTTTTGCTGGACTCATAAGATGTGTATTGGTCCATTTGATGGTTTCCCATAAGTTCGTTAGGTTCTATTCACTTTTCTTCATTCTTTTTTCTTTCTTCTGTCTGCCCAAATCTGATGCTGAACCCCTCTGGTGAAGTTTGTTTTTTTGTATTTTTCAACCTTCGAATTTGAGATGGAGTTTTTGCTCTGTCGCCCAAGCTGGAATGCAGTGGTGCCATCTTGGCTCACTGCAACCTCCGCCTCTTGGGTTTAAGTGATTCTCCTGCCTCAGCCTTCCAAGTAGCTGGGATTACAGGTGCCCACCACCATGCCCAGCTGAGACGAGGTTTCACCATGCTGGCCACGCTGGTCTCAAACTCTTGACCTCAGGTGATCCCACCTCAGCTTCCCAAAATGCTAGGATTACAGGTGTGAGCCACCGTGCCTGGCCTGTTAGGTTACTTTTCATAATTTCTTTCTTTGCTGTTATTCTCACTGTGTTGTTCACCTGTCATTTCCTATAGTTCCTGGTGTGTGTGTTTTTTTTGTTTTGTTTTGTTTTGTTAGGTCTTGGGCATATTTAAGACAGTTGTTTTCAAGTCTTTGTCCAGTGCCTGTACATCTTTAGGGACAGTTTCTTTTCTTCGAGTGTACCATATTTTCTAGTTTCTTTGTATGCCTTGTGATTTTTGTTGAAAATTAGGCATTTTAAAAAACAGCCACCTCTCCTACTTAGTCTTTGGAAACTGTCTCTGAGCCTAACAATTAACCCATCATGAAAATTTTAAGTTTTCTCAAACGTTTTATGAGTCTGTCTTGCCTGGGTCTGCATATACATACCCTTCTTAATTCCCCTATACGTAGCTGCTTTCGAATGTCTTAATTTCCCGAAGTATTTTGTCTGAGGTTATCCTCAGGGCCTGAGATGATCTGTTGTTCATCTGTTGCTCATAATCTCTTGTTTTTATGCATCCATATCTGTCATCCCCCTGCAGCTTTCCTGAGTAGTAGTAATTGCTTTTCTACCTGGGAGCTAAGTGAAACAGACTAA